GTTTAACCATTGTCTAGTACAGGTTTATATCAGTATCTAGTCAATATGGTATTATGTTATACTGTATCTATTAATTACTAAATAAAAAATGTTCTATGCATCTGCCTTTCACTATCACATGGAGACTAGGGCGGAACTGGTCAATGGCGCGATCAAAAGATTCTTGTAGTAGTTCTCTCCACTTCTCCTGCAGAATTTCTTTCAGTTGATCAATAGTTGTGGGGGATTACCATTAACTGCAATATGCTGCTCCTGGTGCCCCATGTGTGATAGTCACAGGGGTTGGCATCTGGTGTATTGGATGGCCATTCACCAGGACTAATAAATCGAGGGGTATTCTCCAGATATACGAAAGTGACTTTTGCCCGATGGCCGTGAGCGATAGTGAAGGTGAAAGGTGGATCCATAGAACATTTGTTCAATAAATAATAGATAGATACAGTATAACATAATACCATAGTAACTAGATACTAATATAAACCTGTACTAGACATTGGTTAAACAGTTATCAAAAATTGCAGCAGATTTACTTAATATAATGAATGTTTTATTGTTGATCACATAAAATCATAAAAAGTCACATTTTCTGGGAAAAATGGTAAATCTCGGACAATGAACAATTTACCATTGATATTCAAAGATCTGATGAAAAGATATGAAGACAGTATTAGCTTAAGTATTTAAATGGTATAATATGCCTCTCCTTAAGTTTCTGTAAATAAATTTTTAATACCTTAATATTATGATACTTTTCTAGCCTTTCAAAAAGTTGCAAAATCTTTTGGCACACACTGTAGAAATATATATTTAATCTATCAATTCTATAGTTCCTTTCACCAAGAATGAATTGTGTTCATCTCCAAATTCCTTGTTTATAAGTGGATTTAATAGTAATATAACAATGCAAAGTATCACTGTGATTCTCTACCAATATTTTTGTCTAAACTTTGCCTAACTTGAACGGGCTTTAATAAGTAATCTTACTTACAGTTGCCAAAATTATTGAGGGGAGTGTACAAGCGATCACACGCAGCTGCTTTATAGTTATAATTGTGAACTCGAAAGTGCGTTAATCCAATTTGTCAAAATATATTAAATCCTAACACTATTAAGAGTTAAGATGAAAAGTGTTCAGAAACATAACACCATATATACTACATATACATTGTATTTACATTAAAATAAATGTTAGTACATTGTTCATTATGTCATGCATTCAATATTGTGCATTTTTACTCCCCGATTAAATTTTTAAATTTGATTTTCTAAAATTCAACTGCCAGTTGAGTTTAAATCACTGTTAAAAGAATGAGAAGCACATCAGAATTTTACACAAAATGATTTCAGAAAGTTTCAAGAAATTATTTTGAAAATTATGTCCCATAGTAGTTTAATATCCTCTTTGGCTTAAGTTTCGCCCGCATATTAAGATTTGTCTCACATGTTGAATTTTGCATCAAATTTTGTTGTAAATAAAGAAACGAAAAACATGTATGTAATATTCCATATATACATACAGAGCATACATGCAGTATAGTCAATATAAATTCAAAATTCAATTTTGAAAGCAATCGGATGGATGGATCGTTCCTCATATGACTTATGGCAACCCAACCATGAGGTCTGCCATTTATTTTCTAAATTTCATGAAATTCATCAATTTTGACATCAAATTTTGACCCAATGTAATGGAGATATAACATTGAAATGTTGCGGACTTTATAGGGAATAGAATCAAGATACAGATTTATCTACTTTATCAGGTTTTCTTTTGTTCCAAGCCCAGAAAATAGTCGTTCAAACAAATATAGGGGTTAACATGTAAACCTATGAAGAAAACCACTGGTACTTAACTTTTTTGAGGAGTATATTTACACGGGTATATGCTGTACCTCTTTTCTGTTTAAATAAGTACAGAATTACATAATGTTATATAATCAGTTATAAGTCTTGGTTCTAAGCATATGCTATTCTAAGATCTACATTATATATTTACACTGTTATATGCTGTACCTCTTTTCTGTTTAAATAAATACAGATTACATAGTGTTATATAATCAGTATAAGTCTTGGTTCTAAGCATACGCTATTCTAAGATCTACGTTATATATTTACACTGTTATATGCTGTACCTCTTTTCTGTTTAAATAAATACAGATTACATAGTGTTATATAATCAATATCAGTCTTGGTTCTAAGCATACGCTATTCTAAGATCTACGTTATATATTTACACTGTTATATGCTGTACCTCTTTTCTGTTTAAATAAGTACAGAATTACATAGTGTTATATAATCAATATCAGTCTTGGTTCTAAGCATACGCTATTCTAAGATCTACGTTATATATTTACACTGTTATATGCTGTACCTCTTTTCTGTTTAAATAAATACAGTATTACATAGTGTTATATAATCAATATCAGTCTTGGTTCTAAGCATACGCTATTCTAAGATCTACGTTATATATTTACACTGTTATATGCTGTACCTCTTTTCTGTTAAATAAATACAGATTACATAGTGTTATATAATCAATATCAGTCTTGGTTCTAAGCATACGCTATTCTAAGATCTACGTTATATATTTACACTGTTATATGCTGTACCTCTTTTCTGTTTAAATAAATATAGAATTACATAGTGTTATATAATCAATATCAGTCTTTGTTCTAAGCAGCGAAGTGAATACACATCCCACTACATTTGAGTTAAATGACAAAAAGTAATAAATGATACATAGTACCGTGGGGTACTGGGGTTGTGATGCAACTGACTGATAGGTAAAATGGCCGACAATAAAAAAGCAGATATAAGTTTTTACTGATTTTCTTATTACTACAATTTTTTCATAAAGACTACTGTTTACAGTGACATGGATTTTTACAGCGCGGGGCATCGGAAATTATTTATAAAGCTACTGAATGGTCCAAAAGTAAATTTTCTGTGACTTAATTTTGAACCGGGACTCAAAGGACATAAATTAAAACAGGAATCTTATTTACCCAGGTTTAAAAATGTGCCACTGTTGTCGACTGTCTGACTGATTATAGTACAATAACGCCATTTCTAAGGGCAATATTTCACTATACTGCTCGCAGAAATGACGTTATTAGTATTATTACCACTGTTAACAACCAGGACTGAAACAGCAAGAAAATCTTACGCATTGAATGATATCTAATTTCCCAGGGAAAATTGCCGGTCCAGAATATATTCTAGACCGGTCCATATGGACCACCACTATGACGTCACACATTTCTCAGGTCGATATAGTAAAATCAATGCCTTCTAAACTAGCACTAAAACCCCTAGAACTGGCCCGGCAAGGTGATAATAATAGTACAATAACGTCATTTCTAAGGGCAATATTTCACTATATTGCTCGCAGAAATGACGTTATTAGTATTATTACCACCGTTAACGACCAGGACTAAAACAGCAAGAAAATCTTACGCATTGAACGATATCTAATTTCCCGGGGAAAATTGCCGGTCCAGAATATATTCTAGACCTGTCTATATGGACAACCACTATGACGTCACACATTTCTCAGGTCGATATAGTAAAATGAATGACACTTTAAGTATTTACAGTGGAAATCGATGTATGATAAAAGACTCGAAAAAAATCGAAGACTGATGTTCAAAATTGATAGGAAAGAAGTGCCTCATAATGTCTACAGTCTTTTTGACAAACATCGCAACCATGCAACTAGAATTTTAAGACACACCTTACCCTTTTCCTGCCCAAGAAATATTTCAATAAGACTCTCTTAAGTACCAGTTTTAAAACTTATTAACGATTGGAACCAGCTTAGCCAGACTTTTCGTGAAATTCAAACCATTTCTAGATTTAAGAGCTTAATTAAACAGATATTTATTCCTATTCGAACTTCATACCAACTACAAAATTAAATTTAAGTAGAACCAATGAAAAACTGCTTAATAGACTTCGTGTTCATTTTGCCCTTAAAGACCATTTCTTTACTCATAATTTCACTGGAATAATTGACAACAAGTGCCTCTGTGGCTCTACTGAAGACAAAACATTTCATTCATTGAAGGTAACAAATGATGACTGCACTTCGTGAACAAAATTTCTTGTTGGATACTAAACTTATTCCTGGCAAGACAGAACAGGTAATATTTAATCTATGAAAATGAACATTACTATTGATTTTCAGAAAATCCTGATAGATATAGGCCTAGTGATGCAATTTGTTCAGGCCTGTTATAAGTTTCCATCTAATTAATATAATTCTCATTTGTATCTTGTGACAACACCCCCCCCTCCCAACCTCTCCCATTATCATCAACAACCATCTATAATTACTGTAATTAATCCTCTAAACGTAACTTTAACTATGTAGAATGTCTAGGCGATTGGTAGTAGATACTATTTGTATTTTTGATTATGAAGGAAATAAAATGGGCAATAATAAAGAAGCGGATCTAACTTAAAACTAATGTTTACAGTGACATGGCTCTTTACAATGCAGGAAACTTGAAATAATTTATGAAACTATCGACAGAGGTTTTAAAAATGAATGGTCCAAATGTGAATTTTGCGAGACAAAAATGGTGGCCATTTTAAAAATAAGCGAGCTTTTGAACTAGAAGTCATATAGGGGTTTTTCTGTATTGATATTTAACAAAAATAACTTAAAACGGGAATCCTATTGATAGAGGTTTTAAAATAAATGGTCTAAAATTGAAAATAGGCTAGCTAAAGAAGCAGTCATAGGGGGTCTGTTGATAAATAAGTAGACACTGGCATCGCATTTACACATATTTCCAGTATGGATCTTAGAATAAGTTGTTATTCTAGACTTTTGGTTAAATATCTTAAACAGAATGATTTCGAAGGCAAGGTTTATAAATGAATGTCTTAAATATCACTTTTGAAATTTTTCTCTTCAGTATGGCTCTTAGAATGTCTTGCAAGGTAACATTTTTGGATAAATGTCTCTAAATAGAAGGCACATTTGAACTTTTTTCTCAAGTATGTATTTTAAAATGTCTTCGAAGGGTAGATTTGTCCCTGAATTTCTTTAAACAAATATCACATTTGAAATTCTTCTCTCCACTATGAGTAATACAATGAGATTCAAGGTTGGTTTTTTGGATAAATGTCTTTAGACAAACATTGCATTTGTAATTCCTCTCTCCAGTATGTATTTTGAAATGTTTTTCAAGGTTAGCCCTTTGGTTAAATGTTTTTAGACAAACATTGCATTTGAAGTTTCTCTCTCCTGTGTGTATCACAGAATGTTTATTTAGGGTAGATGTGTGCCTAAATGTCTTTAGACAGACATTGCATTTGTATTTCTTCTCTCCAGTATGAACTAAATAATGTTTTCTGAGTGTTGGCTTTCCCTTAAATGATTTAAAGCAAATGTCACACTTGAAACTTCTCTCACCAGTATGGACGTTAGAATGTTGTACAAGTTTGTATCTGCTGTAAAATGCTTTTAAACAGATAGAACATTTGAAGTTTTTCTCGCCAGTATGGGTCTTAGAATGTGCTGTAAGGCTTGATTTTTGGGTAAATGTCTTCTGGCAAACATCACATTTGAAATTCCTCTCTCCAGTATGAATTACATAATGTGACTTGAGATGAGCCTTGGTGAAAAATATCTTGCAACAAACATCACATTTGAAATTTCCCTCTCCGGTATGACGTACATAATGTATCTTGAGTTGATCCTTTCTGCTAAATGTTTTACCACAAACATCACATTTGAAATCTTTCTCTCCAGTATGGATCTTAGAATGTCTTACCAGAGCAGACTTTTTGATAAATGTCTTTGGACAAATGTCACATTTGAAATTCTTCTCCCCAGTATGAATCTTAAAATGTGTCACTAGACCAGATTTTTGGGTAAATGTCCTAGAACAAATTTCACATTTGAAATTTCTCTCTCCTGTATGTACCTTAGAATGTGCTACCACTCTAAAGTTTTGGATAAATGTCTTACCACACACATCACATTTAAAATTTCTCTCTCCAGTATGCACCTTAGAATGTGATACCAAGCTAGATTTTAGGAAATATGTCTTCAGGCAAACATCACATTTGAAATTCCTGTCACCAGTATGAATTACATGATGATTTTTGAGTTGAGAATGTTTTATAAATCTCTTACCACAGACATCACATTTAAACATTTTCTCTCCAGTATGGATCTTAGAATGATTTATAAGGCTAGATTTTCCATTAAATGCCTTTGAACAGACATCACATTTGAAATTCCTCTCTCCAGTATGTATCTTAGAATGTCTTACTTGGTTAGACTTTTCATTAAATGTCTTTAAACAGACGCCACATTCGAAAAGTTTCTTTCCAGTATGGAGCTTATAATGTTTTGTAAGGCTAATTTTTTTGTAAAATGTCTTAGAGCAAACATCGCATTTGAAACATTTCTCTCCAGTATGAATTATATAATGGTCTTTGAGTTGACACTTTTGGATATATGCCTTACTACAGATATCACATTTGAACTTTCTTTCTCCAGTATGGATCTTAGAATGTGCTACGAGGTGAGATTTTAAACTGAATGTCTTTAGACAAATATTACATTTGAAATTTCTCTCACCAGAATGAATTGTATAATGCCGTTTAAGTTCAGCTTTGCATCTCAATAGTTTATGACAAACATCACATTCTTGTTTTCCCAAGTGTTTTACTGTTGATCGCTTCCTAGATCTTGGTATAATTCCATTTTTTCTGTCACTTGTAGATGTTTCATGTAGATCATTCTCTTGTTGCATATTTAACTGACTTTTGGACCTGTTGATTACCATATAGAGTTGTGTTTCTAATATAAACACCTTATTTCCTTGCTGTAGTTTGAGGGTATATTTTGTAGATCAAATAAAAGTCACCAATAATTATCCATGGACAAAATAAAATACGGTTGCCATTATCTTGGAGTCCACTGTAAGTTACAGGTAATTACCTGGAATCCAATCTAATTAATCAAAAGTCATGGATCAGAAGTTATTAGTAATCATATCAGAATAAAAAATTAAATGTAAACTATTAGTACTGAAGTTAATGATATGCGACTGGTTTTTTATTCTTACTATCCACACTCTTACTATCCATGTCATTAACTTATATATCAGTCTTTAAATACAGTTTTGCTTAATATATCCTTATCAGTACTCGTCCAATTTCACCAAATGTTTCTTGGCGCTCATAAGTGTATCATCAGTGTTAGTATATTTAATATTTATCCTTTCTCAGACATCTTTGGTTTTTATTGAGTAGAAGACGTATCAATCCTGTAGCAGACAACTGTATTAATCTTATGAAAATCAATCTCCAATGATGTCAAATCCCCAGTCTTTCAGCTACTGCATAGTAGTGCAATGTGCTTATAACAGTCAATTGTATTAATCATGTTGCAGTCAACTGTATTATTCCTTATTGAACACAGCTGTCACCTCGGTAGAGTAAATTAATCCAATGAGGAATATTTGTCTCAAATCCCGAGTCTATTGAATACATGGGGTCGTAGTGTGCTGCCGTGTGCTTATATCCTAATACAATTGGTATTCACATATCTGTAGCCACTGTCGTCGTTGCACTGCAGCAGAGCCTTATAGTGAAAGAATGTTGCAGAAGAAGAACAAGAATGTTGTTATGATGTCTATTAAAGGTGCAACAATTAGTGCAGAGGGCCATTCAACGATCATGGACCAGTGTCAAAATATATTTAAGTTAAGATATTTAATCAAGACTAACATCTATTTTTATTATCTACAAAGAAACCCCCTAGTAAACAGTGTTTCAGCTGATATTCCTCTTGAAACATGGTTGATCTTAAAAATATAAAATTGGATTTCCCCTTTTTAAAGCTTTGAACTGAATTTACACTTCTCAATGCTGAAATTGATAGTTTATCAATACATTTTAAGAAAAAGGTATGTCAAAGAAGATGTTAAGCCAAATGTTGCCTTGATAGCTCAGAAAAAGTAAAAAATTTCCTATTTTCTCTCTGCAAGCCTTGTTGCCCCTTTAATATTTGGAGCGTCGGAGATTGTCCTCTTGTTGCCCTTGCCCTTACTATAAATATCTATGCACTGTTTATTTAAAACTGTCGTAACATTCGCATTTCTACAATGTTTTAATTGACAAAGTTGTTGCAATAATTGAACAACACTGTATTTGATCCGGCCACGTCGGCAACATTAATAGTACTTTTGCAGATATCCTTTACTCTTTACAGCATTCTACCACCTCCAGCATTGTATCATCTACAGACACATTGACCCAGAATAAAACGAGTTACAATCATCAAATTAATTTAGAACAGTAAAACATAATAATGTGAACATCTCTAATATGCTTAAGTAGTTAGATAACATACATATGAGCCTTTTCTCCTACTATAGACAAGATTTGCTGTAATAACTCCGGCATCAGGAAATCTGATACTCTCTTGCTGGAACCCCTTACAAAAGGAAATCTGTTCGTTTTGTTAGTAATTCAAAAGTATTTGCTGCTCAATTTCATTATTGAAAGTTTTAACAACGTTTAAATCATTTTGATGTTGGTGATTTTTGATACAAAACTAACAGCTTTACATTTTAAATTGGTCTCATTACATTTACATTACACAAGTTTCTTCAAGTGTTAATCCGTATACTCTAGTAGCTCATGCTGGTTGAGTATGCACTTCTATGTCCAGAGATTTTCTCTTCAGAAATCATCTATGTGAAGGTCATTGATCAATTTTGGCTTGGTAACATATTTGCCACTGAAGGCGAAATAGGTCAAATGGCCACGCCCTTTTTTTACGCAAATACTCCCCCCCCCATTTTTGCATCTCCGGAACCGTTGGACATAGAAGGTTGTGTGACCACTCAAAATGTCCGGAATGGCCACATTATAGGGGGTCAATAATACATTTGTATTTAAAAAAGTCAATGGTTCTCAAGATATTTCCCAAAAACTGTTTTTAGAATGAAAACTCCACTATTTTCTCCTTTGATCCTGTCCCTAGCTCCGATTTCGTTACTCGGCTGGGAAAAAAGGTTTGTTGGTATCATTTTGTTCCAGACACTCTCTAGAATAAATTCATCTTGGGAAGAATAAAAATGTGTGGTAAACGAATTCGCTATGGGCAGTTAAAGAGGCTCCATCTATTCATTTTCAAACAGGGGGTAGGGGTATAAAATAATTTTTTAACACATTTTAATAGTAAAATGACATTGAAATACTAATAAAATCTTATCAAAAACATTATTTACAATCAGTATGAATTTTCTTGTGTGGATTAGGGTGAAAATAAGGGCATATCTTGAAATTCACTACAGGGGCGCCACCTATTTCTGTACATGTACTAACTTATTTTAGATTCGTTAAGGTACGAAATGTACTGAAAAAATTCATTCTGAAGGACCTATACATGTTCATACCACATACTTAAAATTAGATCAATAGCTTATGTACCAGCGGAGAAAAAATTTATTGAAATTTAAAATTGTGGTATCATGCAGGATAGGGGGACCATATCTCACATTATTAACTTCCAAAATATGGAGCATATGCATCTCAAATGTGCTCAGAATGTTGTATGTACTCTTGCTTTGTCATAATATTACTAATAAGAAGTAGAAAAAAAATGATTGTACATTTTAGAAATATTAATTCTCATTTTGGCTTCTGACGTCCCAAGAGTGACCATATCTCACCTTTATAACTTCCAAAATATGGAGCATATGTTTCTCACACCATTTTGACCACATTTATGTACTCTTGCTTTGTCATAATATTAGTAATAAGAAGTAAGAAAATGATTGTACATTTAAAAAAATATTAATTCTCATTTTGGCTTCTGACGTCCCAGGGGTGACCATATGTCACCTTAATAACTTCCAAAATATGGAGCATATGTATCTCAAATGTGGTCAAAATGGTGTATGTACTCTTGCTTTGTCATAATATTAGTAATAAGAAGTAGAAAAATGATTGTACATTTTAGAAATTATTAATTCTCATTTTGGCTTCTGACGTCCCAGGGGTGACCATATGTCACCTTAATAACTTCCAAAATATGGAGCATATGTATCTCAAATAAACTCAAAATGTTGTATGTACTCTTGCTTTGTCATAATATTATACTAATAAGATGTAGGAATATGATTATACATTTAAAAAATTTTAATTTTCAACTCAACAACCAAAAAAGTTTGTTTCCTTCGCTGATCTGACTAGATAGAAGCTGCGGATCAGTCTTAAATGATGCAGGATAGATGAAAACTGTTGTGCGTTACATGCTAAAATCTGGCAAATATCTTGAGAACCATTGACTTTTTTAAATACATATGTATTATTGACCCCCTATAATGTGGCCATTCCGGACATTTTGAGTGGTCACACAACCTTCTATGTCCAACGGTTCCGGAGATGCAAAAATGGGGGGGGGAGAATTTGCGTAAAAAAGGGCGTGGCCATTTGACTTATTTCGCCTTCAGTGGCAAATATGTTACCAAGCCAAAATTGATCAATGACCTTCACATAGATGATTTCTGAAGAGAAAATCTCTGGACTTAAAATTTTTTCTCCGCTGGTACATAAGCTATTGATCTAATTTTAAGTATGTGGTATGAACATGTATAGGTCCTTCAGAATGAATTTTTTCAGTACATTTCGTACCTTAACGAATCTAAAATAAGTTAGTACACGTACAGAAATAGGTGGCACCCCTGTAGTGAATTTCAAGATATGCCCTTATTTTCACCCTAATCCACACAAGAAAATTCATACTGATTGTAAATAATGTTTTTGATAAGATTTTATTAGTATTTCAATGTCATTTTTACTATTAAAATGTGTTAAAAATTATTTTATACCCCTACCCCCTGTTTGAAAATGAATAGATGGCGCCTCTTTAACTGCCCATAGCGAATTCGTTTACCACACATTTTTATTCCACCCAAGATGAATTTATTCTAGAGAGTGTCTGGAACAAAATGATACCAACAAACCTTTTTTCCCAGCCGAGTAACGAAATCGGAGCTAGGGACAGGATCATAGGAGAAAATAGTGGAGTTTTCATTCTAAAATCAGTTTTTGGGAAATATCTTGAGAACCATTGACTTTTTTAAATACAAATGTATTATTGACCCCCTATAATGTGGCCATTCCGGACATTTTGAGTGGTCACACAACCTTCTATGTCCAACGGTTCCGGAGATGCAAAAATGGGGGGGGGAGTATTTGCGTAAAAAAGGGCGTGGCCATTTGACCTATTTCGCCTTCAGTGGCAAATATGTTACCAAGCCAAAATTGATCAATGACCTTCACATAGATGATTTCTGAAGAGAAAATCTCTGGACATAGAAGTGCATACTCAACCAGCATGAGCTACTAGAGTAGTAAGAGCACACTCCACTGGGGGAAATCAGCACGATGTTTAGTTTATTTTGGTCACGCATGCGCAATACATAGTTACAACTTCAGTTGGTCAGAAGTGAGTAACTCAACTACAGTATGGTCTCATTACATTTAAAGTTTCTTCAAGAGTTAATCCGTAAGAGCACACTCCACTGGGGGAAATCAGCACGATGTTTGGTTTATTTTGGTCACGCATGCGCAATACATAGTTACAACTTCAGTTGGTCAGAAGTGAGTAACTCAACTACAGTAAGCCCCAGTGAGTCACATTTGCTACAGCCGCCGTGCGGCGGTCTATCATTTCTGTGTTCAGTAGCTTTTCTACGCTCGCCGTGGAATTTCTGTGGTCGCATACTTTCGCAGTCACATTTCCTTATTCTATTTACACCAGTACAATTTATAAATGTTATTTATAGTGCTACGATATAATTTCAAATAAAAGGTGTCAGTCGTGAAACATTGACCAATAGTAGTCTTTTGTAATATAGGTTGCTGTGGTACCAGTGACCCTTCATCAAACAGTAAAGGCTACGTATTGCGTGTATTCTCAGCAAATATATGTAAAAAATGTCTTAAAAACTGTTTCCAAAGGTACATTACCCATCATAATCTATTTTTGATGTCATATGATAGATCCATACAAGGGCTTGTAGGACCATGTAGGGCAAGCTAATGGGAATCCCCTGATACCATGTAATACCAATTAATTATGGGTGCTACTCACCTCTTCCAGCTCAATGCTATATAGCATAGGAGCGATGAGTTGACGAATATTCTGCTTTCAGGCTTAAGGAGACATATGAAGAATAAAAGGATATCACTTTTGAAAAATGAGTTTTTTTTCAAACAGGCCTCTTGAAATCGTTCCTCAATTTTCCATGAAGGAAACGTAGTGGATGCGTCGTGTTCGGAGGATCACACAGCTGCTTTTTAATCACGATGAAAACCTCAGAGTACGATTTAACCAATAGAGAGGTTAAGCTACACATGCAAATTACACTCCCCAAATAAGGTTGGACATTTCATTTACAACGCTGTTATAGTAACGGACTTTTACAGAAATTATTTTCAGGCATTTTCTGTTTTCATGTATCAAACTTTGTCTAACATATTTATTTTTGCATCACAAAACATTCACATTTTTCACACTTTTTATGTGAAAAACTCTTTATCTGGCACATGATACTTATTTTATATGCCATTGTAGTGTCTTAGATTGTGACATGTAACATGATGTTGCATGTTTTGTATGTATTTTTACGATAAATAGATAAAGATAATAAATAAAGAAGAAATCAAATTGCAAACTTATAATGGGGAGTGTACAATCATTTGTTATAAGAAATAAATGACAAGTATGTTTTATATAGAAGATCTATGCTGTATATTTATAACAATATTTGCTGTGCATCTATCTTGTTTAACTAGATACATAGTTACATAATAATACGCATTTGCATGAATATAAGCTGTACATCTATTCTGTTTAACTAGATACATAGTTACATAATAATACGAATTTCGATGAATATTAGCTGTACATGTATTCTGTTTAACTAGATACATAGTTACATAATAATACGCATTTCCATGAATATTAGCTGTACATCTATTCTGTTTAACTAGATACATAGTTACATAATAATACGCATTTCCATGAATATTAGCTGTACATGTATTCTGTTTAACTAGATACATAGTTACATAATAATACGCATTTCCATGAATATTAGCTGTACATGTATTCTGTTTAACTAGATACATAGTTACATAATAATACGCATTTCCATGAATATTAGCTCTACATGTATTCTGTTTAACTAGATACATAGTTACATAATAATACGAATTTCCATGAAAATTAGCTGTACATGTATTCTGTTTAACTAGATACATAGTTACATAATAATACGCATTTCCATGAATATTAGATGTACATGTATTCTGTTTAACTAGATACATAGTTACATAATAATACGCATTTCCATGAATTTTAGCTGTACATGTATTCTGTTTAACTAAATACATAGTTACATAATAATACGCATTTCCATGAATATTAGCTGTACATGTATTCTGTTTAACTAGATACATAGTTACATAATAATACGCATTTCCATGAAAATTAGCTGTACATGTCTTCTGTTTAACTAGATACATAGTTACATAATAATACGCATTTCCATGAATATTAGCTGTACATGTATTCTGTTTAACTAGATACATAGTTACATAATAATACGCATTTCCATGAATATTAGCTGTACATGTATTCTGTTTAAATAGATACATAGTTACATAATAATACGCATTTCCATGAATATTAGCTGTACATCTATTCTGTTTAACTAGATACATAGTATACAAAATAATACGCATTTCCATGAATATTAGCTGTACATCTATTCTGTTTAACTAGATACATAGTATACAAAATAATACACATTTCCATGAATATTAGCTGTACATCTATTCCGTTTAACTGGATACATAGTTACATAATAATACGCATTTCCATGAATATTAGCTGTACATGTATTCTGTTTAACTAGATACATAGTTACATAATAATACGCATTTCCATGAATATTAGCTGTACATGTATTCTGTTTAACTAGATACATAGTTACATAATAATATGCATTTCCATGAATATTAGCTGTACATGTATTCTGTTTGATGAATATAGAATTACATAATAATGTATTAGTCTTTGTTTTTTAAATGTTGAAATACACTAGGACATCTAGCATGCTGGTAATGTTTTAAACCCCATCCCACACCATTTGTTATGAATGTCATATTACTAATATATATGATCTAAGCTATTATTTACATGGGTATATGCTGTACATCCATCCAGTTTACAAATGAAAACCATACTGTTTAAAACTTTGACTTGAATTTTGGCAGTTTTTATTATTGGAGAGAAATATTTTAAACTGTAAACAATACACTTCTATACAAAATATATTTACTAACAAAATGGTGAAGTTATATAGTATTAATTTATGAACATATACATTTTCGACAAGACAGCTATGACTTAAAAGCAATAGCATTTTTAAATATCAAAAAGGCCATTGTAATAAGATTTAATGCCCTGCTTTAAGAACCCCTATTGAAGGCCTATTCCAGTATTCTCACTTTTAAAAATGGATTGTGCCTCCATTATTTTTCTACCTTGAGCCACAGATAAATGACACTTTTTGGCATAACAAGGCAGCAAGGTGATTGGGGATAGAGGGACAAAGTTATGATGGTCGGAAGTCATAATTGTCATATAATATTGATAGTTGCCTTGTTTCTAGTGCTGTAGAAAATGCAAAGTGATCACTATTGACCTGGGTCTATTTCTCGAAAATTAGCAATACTCTCCAACATGAATATACTTGTTGAGATTCTATTAACTTGAGTTTTTCTGAGAAAACCTGATGCCAAGGCATTGGTCAATGGTGAATGTCACCATGTTAAGTCTGAAATCCTCATTTTCTTGGAAGAATTCAAGTTGATTGAGTCTCAGCAAGTAGATTCATTTTGGATAGTATTTCAAGAATCCATTTTCAATAGTAAGTATAGGTGTTCTTAAACAGGACTGGTCTGCTTTTTAGAACTTTTTGTTGGTAGTTTTTCTTAGTTCAGATCCTCAAACATCCTGTCTCTTATTCATGAATTACACATTGTCTCTTGAGGCGATTTTTTATAAATGATTTGACACATACCGGCATCCCATTTAAACATACATGTATCTTAAGGATGGATCTTAGAATAAATTGTTATTCTAGACTTTTGGTTAAATATCTTTAAACAAACGTCAGCTATCGTAATTCTCTCAGATATGAACCTTAGAATGCTTTCGAAGGCTAGAGTTGTGAGTGAATGTCTTTAGACAAATATCACATTTGAAATTTCTCTCTCCAGTATGGATCTTATAATGTGATTCAAGGTTACATTTTTTGATAAATGTTTTTAGACAGATGTCACATTTATAATTTCTTTCTCCAGTATGTATCTTAAAATGCATTTGAAGGGAAGATTTGTCACGGAATTTCTTTAAACAAATATCACATTTGAAATTCCTCTCACCAGTATGGATCTTAGAATGAGATTCAAGTTTCGATTTTGTGGTAAAAGCCTTGAGACAGACATTGCATTTGAAATTCTTCTCTCCAGTATGGATCTTGTAATGTGATGCAAGGTTTCCTCTTCGTTTAAATGTTTCTGAGCAAACCTAAAATTTGAAGTTCCTCTCTCCTGTGTGTATCCTAGAATGTGCTGTTAAGATAGACTTGAGGGTAAATGTCTTTAAACAGACATCACATTTGTAATTCCTTTCTCCAGTATGAATTAAATAATGTTTCCTGAGTCCTGACTTGCTGTAAAATGATTTAAAGCAAATCTCACACTTGAAATTTTTTTCACCAGTATGGATAATAGAATGTGTTGCAAGATAAGATTTGTTGTAAAATTCTTTTAAACAGATGGAACATTTGAAACTTTTTTCTCGAGTATGGATCTTATAATGTGTTGTAAGGTTAGATTTTAGGCTAAATGTCTTCAGACATACATCACATTTGAAGTTCCTCTCTCTAGTATGAATTACATGATGTGTCTCGAGATGAGCTTTGGTGAAAAATGTTTTAATACAAACAACACATTTGAATTTTCTCTCTTTAGTATGGATCTTAGCATGTGCTGTAAGACTGGATTTTAGTTTAAATGTTTTCAGGCAAACTTCACATTTGAAATTTCTCTCTCCAGTATGAATTACATAATGTCTCTTGAGATGAGTATTCGTGAAAAATTTCTTACCACAAACATCACATTTACAACTTCTCTCTCCAGTATGGATCTTAGAATGCGCTGTAAGACTGGATTTTTGGTTAAATGTCTTCAGGCAAACTTCACATTTGAAATTCCTCTCTCCAGTATGAATTACATGATGTATCTTGAGACTAGCCTTCATTGAAAATGTCTTACTACAAACATCACACTTGAACTTTTTCTCTCCAGTATGGATTTTAGAATGTGTTGAAAGGTTGGATTTCTGGTTAAATGTCTTCTGGCAAACTTCACATTTGAAATTCCTCTCTCCAGTATGAATTACATGATGTTTCTTGAGACGAGACTTGGTGAAAAATGTCTTATCACAAACATCACATTTGAAATCCCCCTCTCCAGTATGGCTTATATGGTGAGTCTTGAGTTGATTCATTCTGTTAAATGCCTTGTCATAAACATCACATTTAAAGACTTCTCTCCGGTATGGATTATAGAATGTGCCACTAGACCAGATTTATGGGTAAATGTTTTTGAACAAATGTTATATTTCAAATTTCTTTCTCAAATATGGATCTTAGAATGTTCTACTTGTTCAGATTTACGGTAAAATTTCTTCAGGAAAACATCACATTTGGAATTCCTATCTCCATTATGGATCTTAGAATGTGCAACCAGGCTAGTTTTTCGGAAATATGTCTCCAGGCAAACATGACATTTAAAATATCTCTCTCCAGTATGATGGTTTTTGAGTTGAGATGCTTTATAAGTGCATCACATTTGAACTTTATCTCTCCAGTATGGATCTCAGAATATGTTACAAGGTAACATTTTAGAATAAATGTCTTTAGACAAATATAACATCGAGACTTCTCTCCTCAGTATTAATTATTATATTTTGCCGCTCAAGTTCAGACTCCACTTACATACTCTTCGAGAGACATCACATTCATGTTTCCCAATCTGTCTTACTATATGTCCTGTTGCTGTTTTTCCAACATTGATCTTTGAATAGTTCAATTTTCACTTTCACTAGTATGTTTCACGTGGGTCATTCTCTTGCATATTTAACTGGTTTGAATTGGACCTGTTTTGATTACTTGGTTCTACTATATCACTATTATTAGAGTTGTGTTTCTGGTGCTTTGCAGTATGGATTTCTTTGCTGTAGTTTCAGAGTCACTGCACCGATAATATATCCATGGATGAAATAAAATGCAAATGTAATTATCGCGAGATTCACAGTAAGTAACCGGTTATTATTACCGAATCCAATCCAATTAATAGTCAAAAGTTATCAATAATCAAAATAATCATAACTGGATCTAATAAAAGTCATTGGTTAATTATCTTAGTACAGAAACTAATGATATGCGACTTATTTTTATTCTTCTTACTATCCACTTGTATGTCGTTCACCTTACATCAGTCTTTTTGCTTATCCATGTCATGTTCCATTTCACCAGGTCTTTTGGTGCTCATCAATTTACGGTTGCGAGTAAATCTCAAGAAAGAGATGGAAAAGCTATAGATGGCCCAATTTCATATTACACGTAAAGAAATGAAGTCAAACATTCCCGAGAATGTTTAGACTACGTATGACATTTGACCAGGACGATCAAAAATCATTCAAAAAAATTACCTAGGATATAAACAATCATGAAGAATTATATAGAATCAAGGTAAATCACTCATGATCAAGAACAATCACCTTGGATGTCTAAGATATAGAACAAAACAATTGCCCAGAGCCAAGAAGAATTTTTTAGGATAAAAAACAGTCACTTATGATCAAGAACCATCACCTAAAATTAAGAAAATCATCTAGGATCATGAAAAATCACTTGATATCAATAACACATTATTTAGAATTAAGAAGAATCATTTAGGATCAAAATCAATCACTAAGTATCGAGAAAAATCGCCTTGGATTAAGAACAATCACCCAGGATCAAGACCAATCACTCAGAATCAAGAACAATCACTTAGAATCAAGAATAAGCACCTATGATCAAGAAAAATCACTTGATATAAAAAACAAATTATTTAAGATCACAACAATCACTTAGCATCAAGAACATCTATATTAAGTGATTGTTCTTGATCCTGGGTGATTGTTTTTTACCCTAGATAATTTGTTACTGGTCCTGAGTGATTTTTCTTGGTCCTAAATTATTTTTACTGATCTAAGTGATAATCCTAGGTGATTGTTCTTGATCCTAAGTGATTGATAATTTGTTACTGATCATAAGTGATTGTTCTTGATCCTGAATCATTTTTTGTTTTTGATATTAAGTTATTGTTCTCGATCCTTAATTATTTTTACTGAATAACTGATTCTAAGTGATTGGTCTTGATCCTGAATAACTTGTTATTGATATCAAGTGATTGTTCTTCATCCTAAGTGATTGTTCTTGATCCTGAATAATTTTTTGTTTTTGATATTTAGTGATTATTCTTGATCCTATAGGTGATTGTTTTTTATCCGAAATAATTTGTTTCTGATCCCATTATTTTTACTGATCCTAAAAGATTCTTCTTGATACAAAATAATGTGTTATTGATATCAAGTGATTGTTCTTGATCCTAGATGATTGTTCTTAGATTTTAGGTGATGGTTCTTGATCATAAGTGATTGTTTTTTATCCTCAAAAATCTTCTTGGCCCTAGGCAATTATTTGGTCTTGATTCTTAATATTTTGCTTTGATAGAGTGATTGGTCTAGATCTTAAACATCATGTTCTTGATCATAAGTGATTAACCTTGATTCTAGATAATTTGTTCTTGACACTACGTCCATGTTGACACTTCATATGTGACTTGTGATCGTCCTGGTCAAATGTTTAAGGCTATTCATACGTAGTCTAAACATTCCCGGGAATTGTTGACTTCGTTTCGTTACGTGTTAAATGAAATTGCGCCATCTATAGCTTTTTCCATCTCTTGCATGAGATTTACTCGCAACCATCAATTTACTATCAATGTCAGTCTTATTGATTTAATATTTATGCTTTCTCGGACATCATTGGTTTATATTAGTAGAAGTCAATATTATTAAACATGTAGCGAATATTAACCATGTAGCGAATATTAACCATGTAGCGATCAAATGTCTTAATCATGTTGCAGTCAATAGTATTAATCATGTAGTGGTCAACTGTACTCATGATCATGTAGCAGTCAACCGTTTCAATCCTATGAGAAATATCTCAAATCCAGTGTCTATTGTATAGTAGTACCATGTGCTTATATATATCCTGGTCATCTTATGTACCGATCGGTGGCTGCAGCTGTTCGTATATAAAAGAATGTTGATATGAGTACTTATATTTGGAACGTTTTAGGTTGCCCTAGCTCATGTAGCTAGACCCTAGCTTTTGCGATAAATGTCAGTTCACCTGTTCACTGTTTATCAGAAGATTCACATTTCGACACTGTTTTTAATTGACAATTGTGTTGCAATAATTGAATCCAGTCAAGTCAGCATGCATAAGTTGTTAGCACAATATCATGAATATACTTACTCTAAAACAGTAAAACATATTAATGTGAACATCTCTCATATGCTTATGTAGTTAGTTAACATATGTTAGAGCCTTTTCTTCTGCTACAGACAGGTTTTACTGTAATGACTGCAGCAGCCAGAAATCTAATACTCCCTCTTGCTGGAAGTTACTGAGAAAGCCCTTACATGTTACACGGAGGAAATCTGTTTTGGTACGATTCAAAAATATTTGATGCTCAATTTCTTTATTGAATGTTTTCACAATGTTTACACGATTTCGGTATTTTATTTGCGATTGTGTATAAGAAACTAATCGCAATTTTATATTGCTCTCATTCTAATGAAAGATTAAACTTCGAAACAAGCAGTTTGGCTGTAAGGGCATAACTTTGGTTAACAGTTGTAACCTTGAAATATGGCTCTATACTACATATTGCACAGGAGCAGTGATTTGTAATGTTAAGCTTTAGGAAAACACCGGGGGGGGGGGGGGGGGGGGGAAATATAAGTAATAAAGATATCACACTTTTGAAAATGAGTTTTCTAAATTAATCCTCCGAACACAGGCCTCTTAAACTAATATGAGTGGATATACTAATGTATAACAAAATATGTGAAAATCAGAAAGATTGACGGTTTAGTTATTTCTAAGAAATGTTTTAAGTTAACATTGCTCTCAATCGGAAATTCTTTTTTATTTTTTTTTAAAAATCTGACAATTCAGATTTCTATGGGACAACAAATGTATTTATAATATATTTGAGAAAATTTTCTGTCCGGATTTTGAGAAAAAAATTTAATTAATTATGTTATTACATTGTATATAATCACTTAAACTGCCAAATACCGGTCCAAGCTAATAAATATAATTGTGTGTCATATAAAAAGTATCAAGAAAATACAAAGTGGTTCCAAAAGGATGAAAATTAAAAATAAAATTGTCATGGCGGAACTCGAACCCACATCATCCCGCCTACAAGCCGAGCATAAAATTCCTGCACCACCCGGGATAACGATAAATGGTGTTATTTTTTGGTTAATATTTTAATATTAAAAAGAGAGCAGGGTTGGTGATGCGCGAACTGACTGAGCAATATTGTGTATTCTGCATGTACACTCCCCGAATAAGTTTGGAAATTTGACTTCCTCAAAACATGCCAAATGCAAGCTGCATCTACAACACTGACTGTTACAGTAAGAGAATTTTTCAGAAAAATGTTTCAGGTATTTTCTTTGTTCATTATTAGTTCAGAGTATATCTAATTGAAGAATAATATCCTCTTATCCACTCCCATTCACATTTTTGATCTGAAAAATGTTTAGTTCAGTTGAAATCTGCTTTGTATGATGACTCTATCAAATTTAGGAATATTGTGTAACTGGTAAAAAGGTATTCTTCCAAAAATCAAATTGCTAAACTTATAATGGGGGTGTATAACCATACAACAATGTTATTAAGAAACAAAGACATGTATTTAATAACTTATTTAAATATAAATAGTACCTGCCACGATTCCATTCGTAATCAAATGAGTTAGTAATAAATTGGTAGGTTAATCCTGTAGCCGACAGCTGAAAGTGGCATTCGCGAATACAAGCTAAATATTACAATACAGTCCGTCATATCTAACACTTTGGCAATGACTAATGGCCCCCTCCCATACTTTTTGTTATAAATGACATCTTGAATTTGACAAAAATTTATGCAACTTCCTTCATAATAAATTGAGCTAGAAGCTTCAAATAAATTTAGCATTTTAAAGCTCTTTTCTTCCAATGATTATATTTATTGGTTATGGGGGGGGGGTGCGATCACCAATTGCACCCCCCCCCCATGGCCTATGGTCTCATTGAAATGTAAAAACTCTGCATTGAACTACAAGTATTATAAAAGTTGCTTCCACATTCAAATAGTTGATAGGGTATTATATCTACTAGTATGCTCATATGAACAGAGATATAGAATTTCAAACTGAAACATTAAGATAATCTGTTCTGTCATTGAAACAATATTCATGGCCAGCTAAATTTCTCAGAATTTAATGTGTTTCATTCGTTTACTCCTAGACTATATTCCAGAACTCTTTATCTGTTTATAGCATATTTATCATCTGCAGATAGACCTAGGACAGTAAAACCTATTAATGTGAACATCTCTATAATGTGTAAGCAGTTAACATTTGAAATGTGAGCATGTTTCTCCTCCAGTAGACAGGTTTTACTGTATTAACTCCAGTAGCCGGAAATCTGATACCCTTCTAGATAAGCCCTTACAAAAAGATGCCTCTTTATT